TAAGTAAGGGGAGGAGTGCCAGAGAACTTTACTTTGCAGACATTATATGCAAAAGACTCCTGTCAATACGGAGAGTAAGGAATGGATTACAACACAACAGGATAACACAATTTAATTCTACTTCTACTGCATCTGTCACACGGGACTGGAGGAATGCACTCAGGTTACTTCCTCATCACTTTTGGCATCACTGGGGAACAGAGACATAGACAACGCGGGTTTTTCAATCTGGCAGTATACTGACTAAAGGCTTGCTTGTAAAGGGTTGCGGGACGATATTTTTCAACAGAAGACGACTGTACGCCTTCTAGATTCACTAGCAGCGTTTGATTCCACTAATCTTCTTCTGACCTACTAGAAGATCTTCGAAGCTGGTGATATGCCTTTTGAACATAAACACTCACTTCAAACATATTATCAACCTAAGTGCACACAAATCCGACCTTAGATTGAAGGTGAGTAGTACTTCTTTGACGTCAGACTGATGTTTTTTACCGATCATAATCAATTAGGCCAGGCTCGATTCTGCCTATAAAAATCCAAAACAACCGCAGCATCTAAAGAGGGAAAGACCCTGTTTGAGACCACTAATATACCCACAAAATAAACGCGCTTGACAACTCCTTTGAGGAGACGAGCCATTTTTTATCTCACGAATTCAGCCCCAAACAGAAAAGGGAAGAAGTTAAAGTGTTGCTTGAGGGTTTAAGGCTGAAAACAGCATCCTCGTCCTTCTGAGTGGAAAGATTTTTGAGGCCGAAAAGTATTTTGTCTAATTTAGTTAATTATTATTACCACCTGGCTAATGCTAAGGAGAGATGTACTATGGTATAGAAGATGTGTATTGTATGTTCGCCTGGAAGTGGCTGCCATCTCGTCGTGCCAAGACCATCCTGTAGCATGATAGCGAAAGATAAGCGTTAGCTGTTACTGACCAGACGAATGAGGTGTTCAACAACGGATACCTTCGGAGGATATTATCGTTCTGGTCTCGAATTCCGTTGTCAATCAGTCACATCCAATTACTTTTGGTTTTTTAAGACAAAACTTCAACCCGACAGCGACCATCGAATATGAGTCACGCCAGTCAGTGGTGTTCTTCACTCCAGAATCACAACAACCCAACGCGTAGAAGAAACTACAAAAAAAATCACACTTAAACCTAGATATCGAGTTGAAACGTGAGAGTCAGTTCTTTGTGAATCTCTGTGACGATTATAGAAGCAGTATAGGGCAGTATACAGCCAAAAATAATCGCTGGAGTCAAGGGCTGTTTTTGCCCCATTACTACTTAAGATCTGTTCCATCAGAAACACGTATAACCAATGGAAACTCAATCTGGCTTGGGACAGGGTTGTATTCCTTCTTTCATTCTCTTCAACTACATAGTTGGTTGTATTGTCGAAGAAGCTACACGCGATTTTGACTATTTCGAATTTGGACAAAACCGACGGCTGGCTGACCCCGAATATGCTGGCAATACCGCTGTTCTAGCGTCAAAAAACCGTGACTCGGAGAATGCAGTGTCGAAGCTGAATGGCGTAGTTAAAACAGTCGTGCTATCCGCAAACGCGGGAAAGACCGAACTGTTTTAAAATTTTATTCCTGACTAAAAGACAACTGTCAGGGCTAAGAGCTGCCTGCCCGAGGAAGTGAGCCGTTTAAAATAACTCAGAGCTAGATATCAGTGGTGAATTGAAGGGTTGACAACAGAAGGGATAAATTGGTCCTGATAAGGAACGCAGGTCAGGCTGTAGAAACTTTACCCAAACACAGCACTTCCATTAACGTTAAATTCGAGGGCGTCAGAGTAAAGCCTAGCACGTGTGGAATTAGGGACAAGGTCGTAGGTATACGAAGAAGGGATACTAAGTGCTGTCGCCCTCGGTCATCCCGACTGTATTGCCACCAGAGAGGAGTGGTGGTGTCAAATTTGCTTCAGTATAAATTCAAACGCAGGTCACGACTATGTCCACGTACGAAAGCAGTGGCGCTGCGTCCATCGCGACGGCCAAACTGCCAGCATCTACATTATGAAAATGCACATTCTCCGTAGCATTGGTGGTTTAACGGTTAAAAACAGCGGAACTGTTCAATGAAAGGTCAACAAGTTGGCAAAAGGACAGCAAAAATAATGGTGGGATTTGGATTGAAAACATGCACTACTAGTAGTTATTAGGCCAAGTCCACCATTATAATCAAGGGTCATGTGATAATTACGAAGGGATAGATAGCAATAGTAAAGAAACGACGCAGAAAATTAACTCGCACGTAACAGTTGACAGCTCAAGGTCAAATGCCCAAATCTCCAAATCCCCAACCTTACTTACCTGGCACTTGGACTCCTAAATAGAAGATGGGACTAACAAAATGCTTCTCTGTAACCCAGGAGAAAAGCAACCCAATAGATGATGAAATGCAACACATCCGGACACATGTCCTCTTAAGCACAGCCGAAAAAAATGGAAAAGTACGAACCTGCATGCTTTCCAGCGTTTCCTGAAGCTCAATTTCTGATTCCATAAACTTGGTAGGTTGATCCGGGAATTTAGTGCGTGCTTCCTGGTTGGCTAGAATGCGTTTTTCCAGAAGGACGGTCATTTTACGCACAGTCGACTCTGTTATATCATCTTCCCCGACACATCCTAAGTCCTCGTCTTCTTCTACGAGTTCAGGGTGGCTAACTTTTGTCTCGGGTTTAGATATAACGGCAGGTTCTAGGGAAAGTAAAAACAAATCACATTTAACTAATGATGAGCATGTGAACAGATACTAGTGAAATTTCACGGCTAAGCTATCAGACGAAGACGTCCATGGTACAGAGTTACGATGGACTGCATTAATAAATAAAAATATTTTTATTTAATAATGCAGTCCATCTTAATCCTGATAGCAATGCCCTAACGTTACACTAGGTCCAAAGGTCCCAGCTTGGTATAGTGCACTAGGCCAGTAAGGTATTACCCCAATTGGGACATGGTGTAGGTTGAAACCGGTTATAATCTCTCCCAATAACCGCATGGAATACCGCCTAGCGCTGCATCCAAGCAGCACAGGGACCAAAGGTTCCAGGGCATTCCTATCAGGGGTGTGCAGGTAAGCCTTTTGTCAACAGTCAGTCTGTCAAAAAGGGACCTCCACGATCATGAAAACATACCTAAGAAGATAGGAATGTAGTCCGGGTCGGAGGAGCTAGATTTTGGAACTTTAGAGGACATGCGCGGATTTTTATTTTCTGGCTCTTTAAGATCATTGCCCCGGATAACTGACGAAAATGAGGGTGGTTCCGGAGGTCTCAGAGCGCGTTTTCGAGATACGGATGCATTTGGCTATTAAGAAATATATAATGATATACGGAAGCTACCGTCAACGCTAAGACATCTCGAACGTCCATCGTGAAGTAAAAACGAGACTATAGACACTTTTTCATATAAGCCGCTCTCAATACAACCTTTAAGGTCGAGTTCAGAGTTATCGTAGGAATTTGATTTTAGATTTTTGAGCCGTACGAGCTCACGAGTTAGGCAAACATATGATAACTATTTGTTATGATATATGGAAACGCTGGATGAAAACTGTGTTGTTAAATTTTAAAAGGAGGTCCCGAGGCGAAACCTGCGTATTGTATAGAAATCAGGGTGGAGGGAACTACATTTATTCGACTTAATGAGGAATTTACCCCTGATATGCAGGACAATGAAGTGGCAACAAATTTAAAATGGCGAGATGCCGAAAAGGTGCGTAAATCAGCTAAACTTTGTAAGATACTCGATCTGCTAACTACCTGACAAAAAATGTTTACAGGAACATAAAGCATTAATAAAGAGGGTTAAAATAAATTGCGCAAAATCGAGAACTTAGATCTACGTTTTAAGGATTATGCTTAGTCACTGATGAAATGAACGTGAAAACAGACATCAACGCAAATGGTGCTCTTGATACTCCTCATACGAAATGATGGGATGATGGATCGACCTTCACAAGCTGCAATGTCATCCACACACCTCACGATGTTAAAGTAGGCTATTTATCAGTGAATTATTATATGGCTAGCCAAAATAGCGAAGCATCCGCCACTATTATGCTTCCGACATCGCCGACATTAGCTTAATTAACAATTCTGTTGACTCACTAAACTGACAGCATCTCTCCCTCACGAACGACGTAGCGAGTCTAAGTGACTAAGTCACTTTAAGTCACTTTATTAAGGGAAGAAGGCTTTCGCCCTTGAGCTCCCTATTCATAACTCAAAAATTGCAAAATATGTCCACTGTAACAATAGCACATAATACAAATGTAGGCTTAACAGCAGCGATCAATGTGAGCCAGCTGCAAAGTGCTGCTACTGACACTATGTTCATTATATCTGTC